AAAAATCATTTTATTCACTCGGTTTGTCATCTATATTTATTTAGAAAGTTCTTCTTAAACTGACATGTGAAAGTGAAGATCACTACTAAATGGAGCATTACAAAGGTCGATGAGTATATTACTTTGTAATTATACATACACATACACAAAGGGACTAATGTACACTCACACCCACAAATATCTACTACTTGAAAAACTCCATCTAATTCATTTAATCTACACGAAAAACTTTAGACTAGTTTGATAAAAAATGTCATGTTGTCTACAGTTTATTCAATAAAGAATTACCATTAACTTTTATCTTTTACGGGCGTATACTAGTTTAATCAATCAGAATACAGTTACAGGGGTAGTATCATAATTTATGGACGAAATAATCATATATGAAATGTAGAATCTTGGATTTCGATTCCAAATTCATCCATTCATCAGTGCTTGAACTCACTAACTTCTGGTCTGAGCCATGTTGGTAGATGCAGAATACTTGATTGGGATCCGTGTAACTATCGTAACCAATGATAGGAGACTCTGTGTGACATGGTTCAGAAACGATCACAACCGTGTAGGTGTATACACTGTCTTCCCTTAAACTATGAGATTAAAATCGCTTCATATCTTACTGTGAACTAATTCTTTCTTCCCGTACTATATCCTTATATGCAATCTTTCTTTTATATATTACCATCATTGAATTAACTACTTCTATGAATTCGGTGTTCATCTTACTGTGCTAACGCGATATGACAACTTGGACCGATGCATATATGTGCCTGATCCTACGTTTTAGCTGCCTGACTAACAGACCATATGGCTAATTAACAATTAGTTTTGTTAGTTTGTGATGAAAACTTTAATTTTACTTCATAATCCTAATCAAACTGTCTGTTCGAATTAAATCTTAACACTAATTTTTTAACCTTAGGAAGTAATTTCAAGGTCAAATCTTTCAAGGTCATTTCGACGTCATTCAAAGGTCGTTCATAAATTCCAGTCTCTCCATTATTTGTTCTGTTTTTTTTTTACACCAATCAACGATTAAATAAATGATGAAATTTATCCTTTAGTTAGAATTAATCCAATCAAAATAAAGATGGTGAAATTTCAACGAAATAATCATACGATCAGATGATTATTTCTCTCTTATTTAGAAAAAATAATTGAAATTGGGAGATAATTTTCATCTTTTTTTTTTCGAAAAAGAAATAAAACTAGAAACTAATATGATTAACATCAGAAGGGGTTTTTTGGAGATTCTAGTCATTTTCATAGTTGAGTTCATGAGTCAATTGAAGTTAGATCACTATGAAAAATCTGGAAACACTGGATGACTAGTTTGTTCTATTGTGGGACTCCACAACAATGCATATTCACCATCCCATCTCTCGAGGTTCGAACGCATGATCTATTAGTCTCTCATGCGAGCGTTTAACCACTAGATAACTGAACAATCATTTCATAAGTTGTAAGTAGTTCGTGATTTCTCGTGTGTTAATCAGTGATGACAATGGTGGATATGTCGCTCAATTTCGTGGATTGGTTGAAGTCAGACATCAACACTGTTGGATGTCGGTCGGCTCAATGGTCTAATGATTAAGCGCTCGCACGCGAGACTGATAGATCCTGGATTGGAATCCCGCGAGATGAGATCGTGGGTGCGCACTGCTGAGGAGTCTCACAATAGGATGAAACAACCGTCCAGTGTTTCCAGGTTTTACATAGTGATCTAGCTTCAATTGACTCATGATCTCAACTCACTTACTTACGCCTGTTACTCCTCGTGAAGGAGCATAGGCTGCTCACCAGCATTCTCCATCCAACCCTGTCCTGGGCAATCCTTTCTAGCTCCGTCCAATTGTAATTCATCGTTTTCATATCTGCTTCTATTATCCGACGTAATGTGTTCTTTGGCCTTCCTCTTTTTCGCTTCCCTTCAGGATTCCAAGTTAGGGCTTGCCTCGTGATGCAGTTTGACGATTTGCGTAATGTATATCCTATCCATTTCCATCGTCTTTTCCTAATTTCTTCTTCAGCTGGAAGCTGTTTTGTTCTCTACCACAGTAGGCTGTTACTGGTGGTATCCGGCCAATGGATATTGAGTATCTTGCGAAGACAGCTATTTATAAATACTTGCACCTTCTTGATGATGGTTGTAGTAGTTCTCCAAGTTTCAACTCCGTACAGTAGAACTGTCTTGACGTTCGTATTGACGATTCTCACTTTGACATTGGTTGAATGTTGTTTCGAGTTCTATACGTTCTTCAATTGTAGGAATGCGACCCTTGCTTTGCCGATCCTCGACTTTACGTCTGCATCTGATCCTCCTTGTTCATCGATGATGCTTCCCAAGTATGTGAAGGATTCTACAGCTTCCAGAGTTTCGCCATCAAGAGTGATTGGATTGCTGTTTTCCGATTTGAATTTGAGGACCTTGGTTTTCCCTTTGTGTATGCTGAGGCCTACTGATGCAGAGACTGCTGCTACACTGGCTGTCTTCATCTGCATTTGTTCATGTATATGCGATAGGAGGGCTAGGTCATCTGCGAAGTCCAAATCGTCTAATTGATTCGGAGCTGTCCATTGTATGCCGTGTTTTACCTCAGATGTCGAGGTCTTCATAATCCAGTCAACCACCAGAAGAAAGAGGAAGGGAGAGAGTAAACAGTCTTGTCTGACTCCGGTCCTTACTTGGAATGCATCTGCCAGCTGTCCTCCATGCACTACTTTGCTCTGTAGTCCGCCGTATGAGTTCCGGATAATATTGACAATCTTCTCAGGAACTCCGTAGTGTCGAAGAAGTTTCCATAACGTCCTCCTATCTACACTGTCGAATGCCTTTTCATAATCAATGAAGTTGATGTATAGTGATGAGCTCCATTCAACTGATTGTTCGACGATGATCCGTAGTGTTGCGATTTGGTCTGTGCACGACCGATCCTTACGGAATCCAGCTTGTTGATCTCGAATTCGGATGATCTCAACTATTGAAATTGTTATTATTATGTCGATAATGATTACTAAAACCTATTTCAAGTAGATTGAGACAAACGGTAGTAATGAATGTATATATAACTAACAAAAACTGATATAAATTCAGTCAACATCAGTAACGAGAATATTCCGAACTTTTCAAATCGTGATATAAATATCGTACCTGTATTATATTTGATGATTAATTTGGTATGACTGGTCGTCTTTGATTGTTATATAGGAAGGGGTTTTTGGAGATTTTTAGAAATTTTCACAGAATGAAATCATGAGTCAGTTGAAGCTAGACCACCATTGAAAACCTAGATGCCGTCTCAGTGGTTTAATGGCTAAGTGCTCGCGCGCGAAGCCAGTAGGTCCTGGGTTCGAGCCCCGCATGGTGCGGGATCGTGGATGCGCACTGCTGAGGAGTCCCATACTAGGACGAAACGGCCGTCCAGTGCTTCCAGGTTTCCAATGGTGGTCTAGCTTCAACTGACTCATGATTTCAATCTGTTATATAGGAGTCGCTAATTTCTTGTACTTGTAAACGAGAAACCACTGCACCTGTTTTACAAGTTACTGGTTAGATAGACTCAATAGTTAAGTGGATAATGAGGTGTGGATTTTAAACGAAAAATACCGTATTCAACTTTTTGCTTAAATTTGAATACTGGGATGTAAGTACACTAAACTGATGACTTTCAAATAAGAGAAAACGTACATTCTAGATTTTGCTGCTAACAATTAATTCATCTAATAAAAAATTCAGTAGAAATATATAAACCTAGGTTCCATCCAGTACTCGTCAATAAAGTAAATCTGAAACAAAATAACTGCAGCAAAGAAACTGTAGGAAAATGAAGAGGAAATAACTTTTCTTAACAGTGATAGACATTTGAAATAATTAGTCCCTTTAATAAATTTCGATAATGCAATGAGAAGACGAAGTTTATGTGTGATCAGACTGATCGAAATGTATTGTGCAAATATATCACATAATTCTGATAAACTTCGTCTTCTCAGTTCATTATCGAAACGATAAACATACCAATTTTCCCAGATTGAAATCATGAGTCAGTTGAAGCTAGACCACCATGGAAACCCTGGAAGCACTGGATGGCCGTTTCGTCCCAGCATGGGACTCCTCAGCAGTGCGCATCCACGAGCCCGCCTCCCGAGACATTCGAGCCCATGACCTATCAGTCTCGCGCGCGAGCACTTAACCATCAGACCACTGAGCCGGCATCGAACGGTGTTAATGTATAACTTCAACCATTCCACGAAGTGGCGCCACCGTACACCATTGTCTTCAGTGAGCTGATATCTCGCAACAGACCTGGTTGAACTCCACTGGTAACGGTGGTCTAATGGTTAAGTGCTTGCGCACGAAACCAGTAGATCCTGGGTTCGAATCTCGCGGGGTGCGGGATCGTGGATGTGCACTGCTGAAGAGTCCCATACTGGGACGAAATGGCCATCCATTGCTTCCAGGTTTTCCATGGTGGTCTAGCTTCAACTGACTCATGATTTCAACCTGTGAAATTTCTAAAAATCTCCACAAAACCCATTCTGATAATATCCTTTAATTGTCAGAAGTCAGGTTAAAATAACACCAAAAAAAATTGTTTACTTATCAACTCTGACAAAATTCTTATCATAAGACCATGTGATCATAAACAAATAATAGTTTTTCAAGTTACGGTTAGTGCTGTTTACTACTTTGTATATCCATCTATATATATATATATACATACATATATCGAAGTTGAAAGTTCACAATTCCATTATACTGTAATCTGATTGGTTAATTTTTTCCTAATGTTGGGGTGTGTAGTCCTATATATATCGAAGAGGATCAAGATTCGTTATTCTCTTTTTTTTTTCATTTTAAAAAGCATTTCGACAAAAACAAACAAATAAACAAGCATTGCTCATATATTACTATTTTATTTGCAAGTTTCCCAAAAAAAATTTTTTTGCTATTTTCGTTGTTGTTGTTGTTGTTGTTGTTGTCAACTGAACTAAATTAAACAATGAGATATAAAAATTTAGATATTTCAATCTTATCAATGGTCTATCGGTTAATTTCATCTTTAACTCTACTTTTACTATTCATGATACAAACAAAAGGATATGGTAAGTGAAATTAATAACTTTGAATAAATAAACTATTTGTAAATTATATAATATGTAATTAGGATCATGAATGATTATCTGTATTGAAGTATACTGTACTTTGTTTGTTTGTAGGATATCTATATTAGACTGTTACTATGTTATGATACTGAATCGATTGTTTGATTATGATCCTGTAGGTTATACATTTATTGATTACTATTTGATTAATGGAAAGAATATTAAGTATAATCATTGTATCCATTTACTTGTAAGGTGAATTTATAAAATACAGTCATAATTGATTTTTAATGTACTAGATATAGTGTTTTTTTAATTATCCAAAACAGCTTAGATGACAGATTACTTACTTACTCCTGTTACTCCTCGTCGAGGAGCATAGGCCATCCACTAGCATTCTCCATCCAACTCTGTCTTGGGAAATTCTTTCCGGTTGCTATTCATCCTTTTCATGTCTGTTTTTCAATTACTGACATAGTGTGTTCTTTGACCTTGCTCTTATTCGCTTACCTTCAGGATTTCAAGTTGGCTCTTGGCTCATGATGCAGTTTGACGATTTTCGTAATGTACGTCCTATCCACTTCAAATGTCTTTTTCTAATTTCTTCCTCTACTGAAAGCTGGTTTGAGATAACAGATTATAACCTCTGTATTAGGTATTTCAACGTAGAAAAGTATTGTGCAACTCTATCATAATTAAATCAATGATTCGATCTTTGTTTACTGATTAGAGGTCGAATGAAAGATTAAATAATTTTGCATACAATAACTATCTACTCTGAATATGTTTTATTAGTTAAAATAAAAGTATAATGATAAACTGTTGAAGTACAAGTGCATATTGAATAATAAATTTTGATGACTGTCTATGGTAGTATAATTTAACTCTATCAAAATCCCTTGTTTAAAAATATTATATTAATTTCAATGGTTGAATTCATGAGCTAATTGAAGCTAGACTACCATAGAAACACTGGAGGGCTGTTTCTTCCTATTATGGGACTCCTCAGCAATGCACATCCACGGTCCCACCTCCGGGGGTTTCCAACCCAGGATCCATCAGTCTCACGTGCGAGCGCTTAACCACTAGACCATTGAACCAACCGGCATCCAACGGTGTTAATGTCTAACTTCAACTAATCCACGAAGTTTCACATTGTTAAAAAAAAGTTATTCAAACCAATTTACAAACTAATAGTAATTGAATTTAATTCTGACTCATTACAGAATGGTAAGTTTAACTACCCAGTAATTATTGATATGGCACAATGTATCATTAATGTACTATTGAGTACTTCTTTTCTTAACGATTGGTTTTATTTGATAGATTCAAAGGTTTTAATGATTAATTGAAGATGATGTAATACACAAGTTCTCTCTTATTAATCTTATATATGTGACATGATATTTAATATTTTTAATTGTTTAGACTTATATCACGTGAGTTTTTGTTCTTTTGTTTATAAATTACTATGCCATTAAGTTAAATATCATCATAAGTACATTTTAAGATTTATTTTCATCGAATGAATTACAAGAGACTTAACCCTACACTGAATTGTTTACTAAATATAGTTCATTTTGTTAGAATTATATAAAGTCCGGAGACAAGTAATTCAATGACTTACCTACGTCTGTTACTCCTCGTCGAGGAGTATAGCCCGCCTATCAGCATTCTCTATCCAACTCTATCCTGTGCAATGCTTTCCAACTTTTTCCACTTGTTATTGATACTTTTCATATCTACTTTTATTTTCTGACGTATTGTGTTCTTTGACCTTCCTCTTATTCGTTTCCATTCAAGATTCCAAGTTAGGGATTGCCTCATGATCCAGTTTGATGATTTCCTTAATGTATGTCCTATTCATTTCCAACATCTTTTCCACGCAAAATACTCAGTATACTTTTTCTATAAAAAATCTCATTATCTAGTTAATTTTTTCTGTGATCTTATCTTCGATTTATTTTTTTTTTTTTGAATTTTTAGTTGCGTCCAATAATGGAGTTCTAATACAAGGTCTGAAGTTCACTGAACCATGTCCAGAACGTGGCTACGATTTTAATGATCGTAAGTTTGTTATAATTAATTTTGATTATAAATTAAAATGAAACTAAATCTGAAAATTAAATAAGTTGAAAGTCAACAGAATTGTTTTATTATCCATCAAACTAGATACTTATTTATGCTATTATTTATTTATTCATTAGAGGGGGGGGGCACTGAATACATATGCACCACACAATTCATTTGATTTGTGTATGGTCTATGATACTGCCTGAATGCCCAAACCGAAACAGGAGGTTTTCTTAAGGGGGCAACACCCCGAACATTTAATCTAGATGTTTGATTCACAAGGAAGTGGAGCAACGTTAGGTGATACAGCCCCATGGTAGCTGGTGACCAATAATTGGTTCATACATTATTTGTTCATTCACGATTCTGGTGCTAGCCCATATGCAAGATAGGTTTGGAATCACAGTTTTCCAACTCCCCTAGGTAAATCCTCTGTTTTCACCGACCCGGTTAAAGCACCGGACATTCACTTTTCATCCTCTCAATTTCGTAAACACCCCGATGCGAGATAGTGAGTAGGACTTCCCTGAGAGTGGTTGTATGCACACGACCATATGAGAGCATTTCGAGATGGAGAGCTGACTCTTCCCACTCTCGGCCGTAACAGGACATTCAGGAATGCCTTAATGAATTTTATAAATCAATAATAAGAGTGAATAAAACGTAAATATACGTACTATTGCCAGTCTTACTAATGTTTTACATATTTGAGGCCCCTTTGAAAAACTGGCACATACAATGAAAGATAAAACTCACTTTTCTCATAATTACATCTAATTGGTTATAAAGAAAAAACAGAAAATCGCACAATTTCTAGAACTCCATCAATCAATAGTGATCAGTGGTCTAGTGGTTAAGCGCTCGCGCGCGCGTTCGAATCTCGCAAGACGAGATCGTGTATGCGTACTGCTAAGGAGTCTCACAATAGGACCAGTGTGTCCAAGTTTCCCATAGTAATCTCGTTTCAAAGGACTCATGATCTCAATCATTGAAAATACTAATTACTGTCAGTTAATTAATATTCCTTGAAGTGACATGTTTTTGTTTTACAAGTTCACATATTATTCAAACAACAGTTTAAACAAAATAGAAGAGTAATGAATACTATTGTTATCGAATTTATAGATTCCAAGCCTAAATCCAGTAAATGAATTGTATTGTTTTGTTCAATTATTTACATATATTACAAACTATCAACCAGTCGTCTTATACATGTTACTACTATTCATAAACCTTTAATATGCTTTATAATACTACACCATTATATATTACAGTATGAGAAATAGAATTCAAGAGACCAGTTATTGTTATAGTTTAGTCAAGATTAATAATGTTAATCTCGAGAAACATAGTTCCAACAATAATGAAACTACATTCATTCTATTCTTATTGTACTGAATATTAATAAGGCAGTACAAATTGTTATCTAACGTATATTTACTAAATAATATTAGTTTATAGTAAAAAACAAAAATAGTTCACCTTGAAATGTCCCAGATATTCCCGTCCAATTAACCTTAATTTCTTTGTAATGACTCGGATAAAGTGGCGTGATCTCATGTCTTCTAATATACATATATGGTATTTGTGTAAACACATAATAGAATTAACTACACAAAAGTATTTCCATCCAACATTGTGTTAACCTAAAAATGTATACATAAACATATATTCAAGTATTTATACATTAAACCTTAAGACACACCCTTTATGATTCTATGCATATTTAAAATAATAGATATATATGAACTGATAAAATGACACCATTAAATATGATTTATTATTGTGATTAAGTCAAAGTTCATTCTTCTAATCTGACTAGACTGAACTTCTTTTAAATATATAAACAGATTCAAAATGAATATAATTAAATAAATTCATACTATTGAGTTGGCATTCAACGATGTTCATGTCTAACTTCAATCAATAACATGATCTTACGCAATCATTCATCTATTGTCTGAAATACCATACCTATCTCTATCCGATACGGATTGAACTCCACTGGTTACGGTTTCTCATTTGAACTACAGGAAATCCATCTTGGAGTTAGTCACTAATGAGCACATGATGATTATTATTAGAATGGGGTTTGTGGAGATTGTACTAATTTGAATAGTTTAGTTCATAAGTTGTTATCAGCTAGACCAGGTTTTCAATGGTAATCTAGCTTATAACGGCTCATGAATTCAACTATTTAAATAACTACAATATGCACAAATCCTCATTCTCATAATAAACTTTTATCTAATTTATATTGGATCTGTTTTACGAATTACCTATTATTGATCTTACATACAACATAAATTTCAGTTCCTATTCCTACTCTTATGTAGCTAGTTGTGGTAATTAGCTGATTGATTATGGAATTTACCAAGCTTTTTATTTGCATACACACAAGCTTTTGAAGTTGTTATTTATACTACTATCTATTACATCATCACGTTTATCCATTGTTCACATGTCCTCACAGAATTATTTCTTAACATTTCATCTTAATTTCAATTTTACGAATTTCCGGTTACTAAATGACTGCACATCATTGGCATAGATTTTCTACTGAATTGTAAAATCAATATATTTGTGTAGAACCCCGATAAGGAACTAACTGATGTCTTAGTAGGAATATTACATAAAATCATTGTTTATATCACCTGCATCTTGATTAGCTGAGGATTGTCTTCACTTTTTCGAGATTACAGTCAATAGGTGTCGGCAGTAGAGTATGTTTTTACTGTTTCGTTTTCATGAAGTTAAGGTAAACACCTTTCTATCGAATATGAACTCAACTATTCAAATTACTACAATTTCCACGAATATCATTCTAATAATAATCATTATGTACTCTTTAATGTCTGGCTTCAAGATAGATTTTTTGGAGTTTGAGTGAGAAGCCATGACCAGTGAAGTCCAATCCGTGTCACATATAGGGAAATATCTACCTCAGACAATGGATGAATGGTTGCGCAAGACCATGGATCGATATAAATTAGACATTCACATCATTGATCACCTGCTCAATGATCTACAGGTTAAGCGTCCGCGTGAGAGACTGAAGGTCCTTGGTTCAAGTCCCTTTGTTGCGGGATCCTAGACGCACATTGCTGAGCAGTCCCGTACTAGGATGAAACTGCCGTCCAGTACTCCCAGGTTTCCAATGATCGACTCATGAATTCACTTGTTAAAATCACTACAGTCTCCACAAACTGCCATTCTAATTTAAATAAGTAATTGATTTATTCAATAGTGTGATATTAATTCCATTGGAAACATAGTAGAGTAGGTTAATTATGATAAATTGTCGATACAACTATGTGAACTTGGTTGTCGGTATAATTGTCTGTTCACAAGCTTCAGATAATAAGTTATTCTGTTTATTGTGTAATGATAACCACACGTTTCCAGTGTTCAGTGAAAGTGTGAGATATGTAATATTTTCGAGTATTTTTCCATTCATTCAATGTGTCGGTATTGCATTCAATAGTGTAATTTATTTTCACTGAACAATTCATTTTAATAATTTGAATGTGAATATGTGTTATGTGAACACACCAGTGTAGTGAATTCGAAGATGTGGGATAAGAAACCAAACCAACGGACAAATGAGGTGAGAGTGAGAGTTTGGTAAGAAATCCTCTCTGAAAACTATGTTTATATATGTGATATGGATTCAGTGAATGAATGGAAAAATGCTAGATATTGCATATATATTAACGGTTGAGAAGTGGATGTGGTAGCTGTTTTAATTCATTTAATTCATCTTTAGTTAAATCAAACATACTTTTGATATAACTAGGCGTCTGGAGTTTTGTTCTTCATATCTTTCGATGCTTCATTAGAAAGGCAGTTTAATTTCGGTTCAACTGTAAGTATAATACTGAACGGTCATAATCATGAATTCACTTGGTATTGTTTGGCTTGTATCTTCCGACTGAGGTTTAAGACTGCAATTGATCAGTCAGTTATTACCAAGTGAATTCAAATTCACCCCATTGCACAAGCAAGTGGCTATCAGGACTCAGTAGCTGAGTGGATAATGCGATGGCGTTTGAAGCGAATGGTACTGGGTTCGAGTCCCAGATTGGATATCAGCTCTGGTTTTACTTCAACACATAGATATTGGTACAAAGAGGCACCAAATATATATGCGCCACACAAATCTCATTCGATATGTGTGAGGGCTATGATACTGCCCGGGTGCCCAAACCGAAGCAGGTGGTTTTCTAAGGGGGCAACCACCCGAGCCTTCGACCTGAGGGTCTGATCCACAAGGCACTGGAGCATCGTAAGGAGATGCAGTCCCATGGAAGCCGGTGACCAACGATTGGTTCATACGCCATTTGTTCCCGCAGGATACAGGAGCCCATGTGCACCAGTGGTTTGGAATCCGGTTAAAGCGCCGGACATTCGCTTTTCGTCCTCTCATTTTCGTTAACAACAGCAATGCCACGAGAAGGCAGTGAGTAGGACTTCCCTGGCAGAGGCTATATACGCGTGGCCATGTGAGAGCACTTCGAGGGGGAGAGCGGACTCTCCCCACTCTCAGCCGTACCAGAGCATTTAGGGGCATCACGAGATGCAGGTACATCCAGCTGACGAGTCTCAAATAGGACGAAACGTGCGTCCTGGCTTCTACTGCCAGCCACTATCCATCATGGTCTACTTCCTTTACAATTAGAACCTTGTCATGGATACTTAGATTTCTATCTGATAAATTCATTATCACTTTTGTTAAGATTCACGGTGTAAGATTTGTCTACAGTCTGTTAAATTTTAAGGTTTTATATGTGTTGGAAATTTTTCTCAAAGCTTCTAACCTGTCGCTGTTTTAAAGAGAGATAATGAATCCTTAAAATTATCTCAAACGTATTAGTATCTTCAATGTACTCACTTTCTTATAACAAGATTAATTTATACCATATTATGTTGTAAGCTTTCAGGACAATGTATAAATTACAACAAATATTTTTGATTTTGTAAGATAAAAGTTATAGTAATTTAGTAGTTGAATTCATTAGTCAATTGAAGCTGGACCATAATGTAAAACTTAGAAGCACTGAACGACCGTTTCGTCCTAGTATGGGACTACTCAGCAGTGCAAATCTACGATCTCGCCTCGATAGATTCGAACCTAGGACCTATCGGTCTGTCTGATTATAACAGTTATATTTATTCACTTCACTTGGTGTTGTTCTACTTGTATTTTCCCAATGTTATTTAGGACTGTAATTGATCAGTCTCATGTTGGCATATATTCATCCTGTGCGGATCGTCACAAGCTTTATAAGCAAAGATGGATAGTGGCTAACAGTGGAATCCAGTTTGACGTGCGTTTCGTCCTATTTGAGACTCGTCAGCTGAATGTACCGATCGCACAAGCAGTAGTTAAGTGGAGAACACGATGACGTTTGAAGTGAACAGTACTGTGTTCGTGTCCCAGAGTGAACATCAACTCTGAGATACTGATATATCCAGCTGACGAATCCCGAATAGAACGAAACACGTATCCTGGATTCTACTGTTAGCCACTATCCATCTTTTATATTTATTCACGTTTCTAATGTTATTCCCAATATATTCTCATAGTCATTTTTACTTTATCAAGATTTTAATATGTTACATCATTTTAGTCACGAGTGAATCAACTTATCATCATCTATGATTAATTATCAGGTCATAATTAAGAAAAATCGACCCTATATATATATATATATATATATATATATATATGTATATATCAAGGCCATTCAATACTGGTCCTTGTAATGGTGTTTACATAACAAATAAGTAAATATATTCAATGATGAATATAATGGGACAATAGAATACTTTGAAATAAACATAAAATTTGTTTATTGAATGAAATAATCGTACGATAATACAATCACATGATAAAAAGTAATAGAGAATCAACTTAATTTGAATAGTAGGTTGAGCCATATTTAAGTCTGACCTTAAATTATAATAATGAATAGGTGTATCACATTATTGTCAAAGTAGAGTAATGAAATATAAAGCAAGATAATAATGATATTACCATCAATCAATATACTTACATAACTTACTTGAACTATCTAGAAACAAATATCTTCTACGTTTACATGTTTAGTATGTAAACATACATAAGTAGTATCAGAGGAGTATGAATTCAGTTCACTTATTTATGATTGAGTTCATGAACTAATTGATGTTAGACCACTATTAAAAACCTGTAAGCATTGGACAGCCGTTTTGTTCCATTGTGATACTTGCTCAATTGATTAGAACCCAGAACATTCGATCTCGTGCGTGAACGCTTAACCTCTAGACCACTGAGTCGGCATTCAACGGTGTTAATGTCTAACCTCAACCAATTCGTGAAATTGTGGTTACTTCATGTTATTAATTACAATTCTTTAGTGAACTATTGAACTTTTTTTTCTAACTGATTTCTGTAGGTGAATTATATAACGAGTTGATAATTATGTAATCCGATAGTTGAGATCACGAGTCAATTGAAGCTAGACCACCATGGAAAACCTAGAAGCACTAGACGGCCGTTTCGTCCTATTGTGGGACTCCTCAGTAGTGAGCATCCTAACCTTGGATCTATCAGTCTCGCTCGCAAACACTTAACCACTAGACCACTGAGCCGGAATCCAACGGTTTTAAATTAATAAAATCTCTACAAACCCCCCTTCTGATACTAATTATCTATTCGCTAATACTGATTTATATAATGAATTGAATATTGAATTCTATGATTAATTTTCAAATTAAATATCTTTGACGAGACTATAATTTATGGGACGAACCAATCACTTGTAAGATAACATGTCTCAGATTTTGGCGCAAAATTCACTCATTCATTTGAGTAAATAGAGTTTCGGCATTATAGCTGATGTCAATTCGTGATGAAAACCCGGAATCTAATTCCTAACCTTAATCATTAACTTTAAATTTTAATTCTAATTCTTTACACATGTTTATGACCCTAATTTGGTCCTGGTTAATAAGTGAACACTCTTAAGGTCAGTCTAACATCGCTCAAATGTTGTCCATAAATTATAGTCTCACCATATCTTCTTTTTTTTTTCTTGAAAAAAAGTCTTCTTCTTATATTTATTTTACCTTTTTTTGTTTGTTTTATAATTAGCTACTGGAAATTTTATGTGTGTAGTACCAACACCAAAAGAATGTTTTCATTTATGCCAAAATATGGGTTGTACAGAATGGAATCATATGAATTTAATTCCATCAGGAAGTGAAGAAATTAAACGATATCATAGATGTCGATGTTTTCCTGAATATAATATGTGTTTTTATAATTATGTACCTAAAATACATCGTAATTTTGATTAAATGTATTCTTCTCCCTCTCTCCTTCCCCCTCTCTCTCCTCACTCCTCTCTTTCCCCTTCCCTCCCTCCTTCTCTCTCTAATATATATATATATATATATATATATATAACTTCAGATATCCATTTAATGAAACATATCCACATGGCTCATACACAAATTAAAGACTAACACAAACTTGTATAATAACTATTCAATGCTCAAAAATGTACAATAATATTTTCTTCTTTTTTTTTCTTTTTTGTTTTGTTTTGAACTCAGGTCAGTTTTTGTTTCTATACATATATACTACTCATTATTCCTATTTATTTCGTTATATAACACATGAACTATTTATAAATAAATGTGAATTAATAATATAAATTTAAAGTAAATTCACTTGTTACTGTTTATTTGAATCTTTCCATTGTTATTTAGAACTACAATTGATCAGTCTCTTATTAGTATATGTGCATACTGTGCATATGCCTCGATATTACCTTAATTTACAAGCATTATAAGCAAAGATGGTTGATGGCTAGCAATGGGAATCCAGGGCATGGGTTTCGTCATATTTGGGACTCGTCAGTTGGATGTACCTGAATCTCAGAGTCGATATTCACTCTGGGAGCGTTCGCTTTAAATGCCATCACGTTATCCACTTAGCTACTGAGTTCCGATAACCAAACTGTTTTATTTATTTGGTGTGTATTTATAGTTTCGTTTGTGTAGAACTCAAAAGATAACTTTGTGACGTCTTACTAGGCTAAATGGATCTTTATTGGGATAATGTGACATAGTATTTTGTTGGCTTAAGCTATTATGTCTTATACCACATGATTTTATTCTGAATTATATCTCAAGAGCTTTGATTAATACTTCATGGATATTCATTCTAGAGCAACTGAGAGATTCTCAGACTGTGATCATGTAATTTTAATCAACAGATAATTGGTTGGATAGAATACATATTCACTTTACATAGTATACAACAGTATATATCGCCTGTGCCATAAGTGGATTATATCATTTGTTCTTATCACACCAGAGGAAATAAGGACTCAATGAGTTGATCTACTTAGCTCTTCAATAACAAACAAGGGACTGCTATGATCCACTACCGGAGCATCCTATGCCTGAGGAGTACAAAACTTTTCAGACTATCAGTTTCCTTTAGGTACATTTCTTTAGCTTTCCTGAAGAATGAGAACATTTTTGAGGCACTACCGATTAAGAAGAGATCAATGAGTATATGATAGTACGTAGAGATATTCCTAGGAAGTTTTTGGAAAATGACAGCAATGAAAATCCCTGTTTTGTGTTATGCCATAGTGGTAATTTTTTGTACGTATCCTTTTAGAATATAAGACATTAGCCAATCATACAAATGTGGTAACGCATTGGAGGGAACAGACTCTTTTTATAAGTGACTTTAAATTAAGATTTTGGGTACCAGGATTCCACGGAGATTACTTACTCAAAATACGAACAGATATTATGATATCATTTTCATTCAGCTCTTGATGTATATATCCGGAGGATAGGAACGTAATCTATTTCTCGAGCTGTCCTTATAAGTCTACAGTTCCACAAGTCATCCTGTAAGTAAAATTAGACGTTTTCACAATGAGTCTGAACACCATGTTTAAACAAGGGATAATTGCATTTCAGGACATTAAATATCCTTATTAAATTATCGAAAGTATCTGGTGACATCGACCAAGTTGACTTGAATCTTTTTGAAGTACACTACATAAAGAAGTGATTCCTAAGGACTAACACTCAGTTCGTTTGGATACAACGTTATTTCATCAAACATGTATCCACCGAGCAATCTAAAGTATTTTGATATTCTATATCTTCTTACAAAATATAAGTAACATAAAATATCATTCGGAAAAACTGATGGAAGGTGGTGGTGAAAATTTTGTGAAAAAGGATAGTACGCAAAGCTTATTTGTTTCGATAAAGTAGTAAGACCTCGTTTGTTTTCTTTTCATCCATATTAACATTTTAACTCAATTACGTATTTAATGATGCATTAGATAGTAACTGCACATACGTCGTAGGAACTGTTTATGATTTTCAAGAATTTCGCTTACATGATTCTTAGAACGTTGTTCCATGAAATCATTTGAAGAGTTGTGAAAATTATAACGTGAATTTACGAGTGATACGGAAAACAAACTGAATTTCTCTCGAATGAATGTATTATTGTAGCAGGGATATAAAAAGAATTAAAATCCTTGAGAAACTCAATAACTTTTAAAACCACTTACTTATGCCTCTTATCCATTAAGTGAACAAGAACACAGATAGGGACAATCGAATGCACTTGAATACAAAATAACAGAACATCTTAGTAAAATCTGAGGACCGTACTGTAAAAACTTCGTTTGCAAAATGTCAATCAATTGTCTCAGACTTCGTTATTCTTTCGTTTCCACAGCAATCATTCTTTGTTCCCGTTCTCTTTTCTTTGAACTTCTTAACCTTCCATCTCCAGGCATTTCACTTTCGATTGATGATACATATTACTTATATCTGTCGACATCATTAGCACACACCATACTGTCCGTGGAAGAGCATAGGCCTCCCACCAGCATTCTCCATCCAACTCTGCCTGGCTAATTCTTTTCGATTCTTTCCAGTTGCAAATTACCCTCTTCATGTCTACTTCCAATTTCTGATGTAATGTTGTTCTTTGGTCTTCCTCCTTTCCTTTTCCCTTCAGGATTGCAGGTAAGCGCTTGCCTCTTGATGCAATTTGATGATTTTCGTAATGTGATCTATCCATATCCAGCGTCTTTTCCTAATCTCCTATTCAAATGGGAGCTAGTTTTTTCTCTCCCACATTAGGTTGTTGCTTATGGTATCTGGCCAACGTATCTGGAGTATCTTTCATAGAAAATTATTTATAAATACCTGTACTTTCTTGATGATGGCTGTAGCAGTTCTCTAAGTTTCAGCTCCGTACAACAGCACCGTCGTGATGTTCACATTGAAGATTTTAACTTTGGTGTTGTCTGACAGTTGTTTTGAGTTCCATATGTGGGAATGCTGCCCTAGTCTTGCCAACTCTCCCTTTTAAATCTGCATCTGATCCTCCTTGTTTATCGATGACGCTGCCCAGGTACGTGAACATTTCCACCTCTTCCAGAGCTTATTTATCAAGTGTGATTTGATTGACGCTCTCTGTACTGTATTTGAGGATTTTGCTTTTTCTCTTGTGTATGTTGAGGCCTACTGATGCAGAGGATGCTACTACACTACCTGTTTTCATCTGTATATGTTGGTGTGTATGGGATAGAAAAGCTAGATCACCTGAGAAGTCTAAGTCGTCTAACTGCATTCAAGCTGTCTGCTGTGTTTGGTTCTTTCCTTGGGATTTTGAGAACTTCATAATCCAGTCAACCACCGGGACAAAGATGAGGGTTGAAAGTAAGCGGCCTTTGTCTGACACCGTTATTCACTCAGAATGCATTTCCCAGCCGTCCTCCATGCACGACTTTGTAGTGTAGCCCGTCGTATGAACTCCGTATGATGTTGACGATCTTCGCGGGTGCACCACATTGTCAAAGAAAGTTCCATAATGTCCTTCTGTCCACGCTGTCGAACGTTTTCTTATAGTCAGGGAAGTTGATGTATGGCGAAGAGTTCCATTAAATTGATTGTTCAACGATGATCTGTAGTTTTGTGATTTGGTCTGTAGACAACCGATTTTAACAGAATCCAGGCTGTCGATCTCGAAGTTGGGTGTCTACTGAATCTTTCATTCTATTCAATAACACTGTTGAACACTTTTTCTGGTACTGATAGTAGTATGATACCTCTGTAGTACTCACACTTGCTCAGATCTCCTTTCTTTTTTATTTTGACGAGTTATCCTTGCTTCCAGTTTATCGGTACTCGTTCCTCCTCCCAAATCCTTCTGAATAGAATGTGCGGCATCTTTGCAGTTACTTCTGTGTCTGACCTGTGTTCTTCAGTTGGTATGTTGTCTGGTTCTGCTGGCTTCTCACTCTCGACATATCTGATGGCCATGCTGATTTCTTCGATCGTGGGTGGGGTGACATCTGTGGGAAGGTCTGTGTATGCTGCTTCAATGTCTGGTGGGTTCAGTGTGGCTGATCTATTCAAGAATTCCTCAGTGTTGTATCCACATGTTTCACTGTTTTTGAATCTCAGTGATTGGCTTGCCTTCTTTGTCTTTGGCTGGTCTCTCTGGTTTACTGTATTTTCCTGCCAGTTTCTTTGTTGTGTTATTTCCTTTATTTCTAGATCTTCTTCGTATTCCACTTGTCAACTCGAATGCTCCTCTTCACTCGCTTGTTTGCTTTTGTGGAATTCTCTGCTGTTGTTCGACTGTTGTTAATTGCTGTCTTCTTGCTTTTCCTTTCTTGAATCCTGGTCAGGGTATCGATAGAGGTTCTTTCCTTATGATGACGCTTCTTGTGGTCCAGCACCTCCTGGTATTTTGAGGTTAGTGATCCGCCAACCTCTTTTCAGTCATTCACCATAGTAGTTGCAATTTCTCTAAGTAGATCTTATAAGGCTTTGAACCTGTTGCTGAGTGAGATCTTGAATTCATTGGCTTTGCTAGTATCTTGAAGGAAGGCTGTATAAAACTTCTTTAGTTCTCTTTCTCCAGTTGTCCAATGTTTCTTTAGCCTCAGTTCCGTCTTGGCAACCGCTGGATGGTGATCTGAGGCTACGTCAGCTCATCTCTTTGTTCGCACATTTTTAGAAAATCCGATTTTTTAGCGATGCAAATAATATCCATATGGTTCTCTGTGGTGTGATCCGATGAGATCCATGTAGCTTTATGTATGCGTTTGTGGTATGGTATACCAAAGGTTCGCAAACATGATGTTACACTTAGACCTATCCTATAAATGATCAGCTCAACGTATTACAAAGCTGCACGTTGGCTATCAGATAGGTTATACCCAGTCTTTTAGAGATTTATTACAGTTTGCTGACAGACTAAATCGTACGAATGTTGCCGGTAAGTTCATGGTTTT